CAAGACTATGGTTTCTGTCGTGGTCTTGAGCAACACACTGTTGGAGACTGGAAATAATGGATGGTAAACTGCGGATAGGAAAGTTCAACAATTAAGGAAGGGAAAGAATGTGATCTGTTGGTGTGGTAATGTGGAAATCTGTGGAGCCGACCGCCAACACCTCGGTCAAAGAGCGCATAGTTAGTTAGAGCCGAAAATTCGGAAATGTATAATGTGTGTTTCATAAGTTGCGTGGGCATGTTACTTCCCGGTTGCCCTGGCCGAAGAAGGCGGATAACCTCGGGGTCCCCACCCGAAGCCCTATGCTAGCACGCCTGACCTGCAAGACAGCGCTCTGGTGTAATAGTAGTTAGCCTTGCGATCAACTCGTATTTATAGTCGACCAGAACGTTTGGGTCACCAAGGAATGGAAAGTTGTTTGCAACTTTCTTCATGCAATCTCCAAAATGCATAGACAACTTCGTACACACCAGTTCGTGCTCAGCATCGAAGCAGGTAAACCGGTAAGAACGACGATATTTCACACACACACTCTCTCCATCGAAAGGTAATTGTTATGTGATAAATCTGAGTCCACGTCTTCGGCGATGAAGGGTGACGCCAAATGGTTAAGTGAGGCTTTGGGTTTCTGAACTTACTGTAAACGGACTGTTCTGAGAATACGCTAAGACGTCTGTTCCCATTATTTGAACATCTGCTATCAAGGTCATAATGATCACCAAGATGAGCCTCATCGGACGATAGATGATCAGCAGCTGCGTTTAGTTCTTTGGTTGTAATCATGATATACGTCATCAGTGCTTTGAGCAGAAGGTCGCGTAAGCTTTGCTCGAAGCTCTTTTTGACTGCATTCGAGTTACAGTCTGTGGGAGCACGTGCAGAAACCGCTTGCTGACTTTAATTAAACCACGGTCTCACTGCACATACTAGGTTATTTTACCGGATCCTTTGCAATACAGTAGTCTCGGCATTGGCTTTGAAGGCAATATGAACGATTGCTTGACCAGACGTTAGCACATCAGGGTCTTCGAAAAGGTGCAGCTGAAACGCTTCGTTTGGTTTATAGGGAGAGGTCAATCGGATGTCTGCTCTCAAATCCTGAATGCATGTTTCCGAGGCAACACCCGT